TTTGTTTTTCTCCAGTACCGGGAACCGAACTCACGACCTTGCGCTTGCCAGGCAGGCACTTTGCCGCTGAGCTAAATCCCCAGCCCGAAACAGGGTCAAAAATTCAGTAACTTGTTCATAATTTTATTTTTTCCCTCCACCCATCTTTCTTTTTTCTTTTTCTTTCGAGAGACAGGGTCTTGCTCTGTAGTTCAGGCTGGCACTGAACTCATTTTGTACCCCAGGCTGGCCTCAGATTCACACCGGTCCTCCTGTCTCAGCCTCCTGAGTATTATGATGACAGGTGTGTGCCATCATGTCCAGCTTGTTTCTAAAGGTTATCTTAACATGCCTCAGGTAATTCATTGGCATGGCAGAAGACTTTACAGATTATATTGTAGGTTACCCATTGTTTACTGCTTAAAACAATAATCATTTCTTCTCCCACACAGTCTCCTTGAATCAGGAATTAGACCAGATCCGGTGCAGATCACGTGTCTCTGCTGCATGATGCCAGAGGCCTACTTGGAAAACATGAAGACAGACAGCTGACATCATCTGAAGGCACAGTCACTATCATGTGGGCTTTGCTGGGGCTGTTGGCCAGAACATCGAACATAACCTCTGCATATGGTCTGGTGACTGGGCTGAAAGGCCAAGAGACCCAGGAGCAAGAGGCTGGAAAAAGTCATACAGACCTTTTACAGCCTGGCCTCAGGGGTTGTACACTGCCATAGCTATTGATCAAAGGTCCACTTGTGCCAAGGTTTGTGGTACACACCTATACTTAAAGCTGCTCTGGAGGCTGAGGCAGGAGGGTTATGAGATTGGGCCGAGCCTGGGCAAGTTAGTGATTAGTGACACCCTGTCTCAAAATAAAAAGGGTTGGGGATCTAGCTCAGTGCAAAGGCCCTGGGTTCAGTCCCTACTCCTGACAGAGAGGGAGACAGAGAGAGAAAGAGAGGGAGACAGAGAGAGAGAGAGAGGGAGAGAGAGAGTCAGAGACAGACACACACCGAGAAAGGGAGAGAAAGAGACTGCCCTCAATTCAGTTTTGTATTGTTACCTTCATGAATCAGTATGTGCATGGGGGAGTGGGATGTAACTCATTAGCAGAGCACTTCACTGTGTGAAGTCTTGGGATTGATCTCCAGCACCACAGAAAGAATATATATATATATATATATATGCATGCCTGGGCCCTGTTCTTGAGTTGTTTTCTATTTCTATTCTAGTAGTTTGTATGTCTATCTTGTACTAAATCTACAGTATTAATTACTCAAGTTTCATAATAAATCTTAAAATCTGGAGTATAATCCCTGTAAGTTTGTTCTTTTTTCCAAAACTGTCATGACTACTCCAGATCCTTCACATTTCCACTTATATTTTAGGGCAACTTGTCCACATATGCACAAAAAATAAGTCCTGTGTAGAACTTTTTTATACACTGATGATGTGTCCCTTAAGTTCTATAGTTTTTGCTTCATTTAGCATACTTGGGCTGGCATATACCTCAGTGGCACAGCACCTGCCTGGCAAGTGCAAAGTCCTGAGTTTGATTCTTAGTACAAAAAAAAAAAAAAAAATTAGTAATAATAAAAAATAAAAATGCATATCTGTTTAGAAATGTTATATTTTCTTTATGAACTGAGACTTTAATCTTTGGTACTCTATTAATACTTTTGGTCTTAAAGCCCATTTTGTAAATATAAATATAAATGATGATATAAATTGAATAAAAAATGATCCCTGTGGAGCTGGATGTGGTGGCACATGCCTGTATTCCCAGCACTCAGGAGGCTGAGGCAGGAGGATCACTGTGAGTTTGAGCCCAGCCTGCGCTATACAGCAAGTTCAGGGCCAGCCTGAATTACACAGTAAGACCCTGGCTCCAAAAAAAGAATTCTTGCTTATTTTAGGTTAGTATTTCCTGATCTTGCTTGTTCCATTCTATTACTTTAAGTATTTTCCTACTCTTATACTTCAAACAAGATTCAAAGAGACTTTCACTTAAGAAAGTTTCAAAGGATGCATGGTACTTCAGGTGGCGGAAAGTGACTTTAGAAGCAAGGTTTGCGATGCAAGGACGAGTGGGTTTTAAAAGCCAACCTGACACTCTCAATGTTTTAAGTGTATTAATTCCACTTATATCTATTGTACTTTTGTATTTAGATGTTTCAAACATAGCACTTCTAATTTTACATGTTCCACTTCTTTGTAGTTTTCAAAACTTTTACTCTCATCTTTTACATCAGGGAAGGTAGACAGTTGATATATAGGTCTCCCTGCCCCATCCCTGGTACTGGGAATTGAATCCAAGGTCTTTTTACAGAGATATATCCTCAGTCCCTCTTTTTTATGATTTACTTTGAGACAGGGCCTTGCTAGGTTGCTAACTTGCCTAGACTGAGTTTGAGGTTGGGATCCTCCCTCAGCCTCCCAGAGTGCTGAGATTACCATGTATGTCACCCTGCTTGGCCCAACCGCATTTTCTTATTCCAATGTTTTCCTCCTTATTGGTTCGGAATTTACACCGTCTCCATTCTTAAAAGCTTACCATTTACAGGAAGTGATAAAATATTGTGGATATTTGAATTTTAAAAATATTACAGTAAAAGACATTGACATTAATCCCCTTCAAAGTACTCTCCCTCACTTTGAACACACTGATCCCACCATTCTTGTCACCTTCCGAAGTGGTTTTGGAAGTCCTCTTTTACAAGGGTCTTTAGTTGTGCTGCTGTGGTTGGCTTGATGTCCTGAATTAATTCAAAAAATGTATTTTTCATGTTCATTCTGATGAAGAAAAGCCAAAGTTGCGCAGTGCCAGTTCCAGGGAATGGGGTGGATGAGGACACGTGGTCATGTTTTTACGAGCCTGCTTTTCCCCTGGATGGCACTTGGCAGCAGCATTCCTATTGCCGATACTTCAAAAGGCAACTCACAAAGAGAACTTCCAGAACTGCTTCAAAAAGTGGCAAGAACAACAGAATAAATGTGTTCAAAGTGAGGGAGAGTGTTTCAAAGGGGATTAAGGGCAATGCACTTTACTGTAACACTTTTTATTTGAGCATTCTCTGAATATTTTGGTCACACCTCGTGTATTTAATTTAATAGAGTTTGTTTCTCTACTGTTTCAGTTACTTCAATCTTCAGTCCATTATCTAGCTTCACGCCCTACAATTTCCCTGACACGACCTTTATGGAAGTTTCCAAATGCTGAACTCAATAGTCCTTTTATCTGACCTTATCTCACAGAATTTCCTTGCTGATTTGACATCTGTGGTCCTCTCACCTAGATGTCCTGGTTCCTAGGGTTCGCTGTCTTCTTTCCCAAGACTTCCTCTTCTCTACCACTCCCTCCTCAACTCCTATTAAGAGTATTTCCCACCAATTTCTGTTCCTGCCTACTGCTACTATTGACAAATACACCCTGTGTGATCCCATCCACTCCCACGGCATCGACTTACCATCTGTGGGGCTAACTCAATTTCTCCAGTCCAGCCTCTTCCTTGAACCTAACTCTGAAATCCAACTTCCAGCTGATCAACCAGACCTAGATATATCATGGGCAACTCAACTTCAGCATGCCAAAACCAAACTACCAATTATCTATTTCTCCTCCTATAAATTCTTTGACCTAACCTAGAAACTCAGATTTTTTTATTCCTTCCCTTCCCTCCATTCCACCTATCACCCATCACAGACCTTCCAACTCTACCTCCACCTTTTTTCTGGTTGCTTTGCCCAAATAGTACTCCATGTCTACCAAGTATTGCAGAAAAATGGATTCTCTGATAAAATAATTGGTAAATGTTAGAAAACTAGGAAAAGAAATTGTCTCCAACTCGGACTTTTCAGAGGCATTACTGTGTAGATGCTGTATTTTAAATGTAATAAGCTGTCTTTTCCAGCTTATTCTAGCAAGTCTAAGGAACACCTTGTGACATCTAACATGCCTGGTAATTGGTCACGAAATGCTGCTCTAAGCCACTCCATCCTCCTCCACACACACCCATTGCCCTAGTTTGGCTCTTGCCATCTTTGGTACCTTAGCTCTGGTCGTTTCCTTAAACACACTGTATACACAGCAGTGCAAGAGCGAGCTGCCTGGAACTCAAGTCTGACCATGTCACCTCATTGTCCAGTTCCATCATAGGGTACACGAAGTCTCCCCATGGCCTGGCCCAGGTCCCCCTCAGTCTCACACACCACAGACTCACATCATAGCTTAGAAACAGTGAAATGTTTGTGTCTCCCAAGTGGCCTGCACTCTTGCAGCGCTTTGCTCACAGGGTACTGTTGGGAGAAGTGGCCGCCCTCCCTGTCCCTTAACACTCACCTCAAGCACCACCATCCTCAGGAAGGGTGCTGGCTGGGCTCAGTGCTCCCCCTCTGCTCACATAACCCACTGGTGTGGAAGTTCACGCTCCTTGTCAGACAGCTTACAGAGGAGTGAATGACATTCACCAGACAAAGTTCCTCTCTTGGCAGAGAGGAGCTTTAAACTCCTTTAATTGTGTAGGTACAGGAAAAGCACAAGAGACTCGAAGTCCAGAGTCTTGGAGTCAAGTGTGGGCTCTGCCAAGTATTCTGTAGTAGATCCCTGACCAACTGCTTCCGTTTTCCGGGCCTGTTTCTCCCTCTGTGGGAAAAATACGCTCTTAATCCTCAGATTCTGCAGCCCTCACAGGTGCACACATCTAGTTCCCTCAGCTCTCAGTTCTGCACACACCAGGAGACAGCCCCTTTCTGCTCACTCAGGCTTGGGCCCGGTACCTGGTATGTCAAGAGAATTTTTTAAATTACAAGAAGTGAGGGCTCAACACTGTAGTACATACTTGTAATCTCAGCACTCTGCAAGGCTGAAGCAGGAGGATCACAAGTTCAAGTACAGGCTGAACAATTTAGCAACTTAATAAGACCCTTCCAAAAAAAAAAAAGGTACTGCCCTAGAAAGCAGAAAACCTATGTGCACCTCTCCCTCCTCCACGAGTAACACACAGAAAGAGACAGCCGCGTGAATGGGCCTTCCCTGCAATATTTATTGAGGAATTTACACATACACAGGAGAAAGGCAACCAGGCATTGTGGTTCCCACACATGAAATCTTTTAAGCAAAGTTTTCTTGCTTGAATTTTCAGACGGAATGAACAATGGCTGAGAGGAAAGCTGCCCGGGCTCTGCCCCATCACCTGGAAAAGGTGGGTAACAGAGCCCCAGGTCCGTGGGCAGAGGGGGAGGGAATGAGACAGGGAGCTATTCGTGAGATCACAGTCTTTCTTAAACTGTAAGAAAAACTGGCAATGGTTCTCAGCTCTTGATAAATTAACTCCCCTCTGTTGTAAACCTAAAACAAAAACACCAGAGCAGATGGGGAGGGGCAGGAGACGGGAGCCAGTCAAGCCACACAAGCAGCGCTCGCCCTGGGCTCTGTGGTCCTGCAAAGGGCTGGATCCTGCTGAAGGCGGCGAGGGTCTGTGTCTGTGTGTAGGACCTTCAGAGTCTTTGGTGCTAATAAAGGTGACTGAAGCGGGGAGTGCTAAAGCCCCAGGCCCACACAGCAACTCAGAGCAAAATGGAGTAGCATTTTTGCTCATCTTCATAGGGAGGGGCTTGCTTCACCCCAAGGCTAGGGTCAACCTGATCCAAGACGCGAGAAGGGTTTAACGTGACTGCAGTTCTTTCTTCACTCCCATAAAGCATGGGAACAGGATGCCTTCCTCTTCAATCAAAACTTCAAGCACGTGGCAACAGCTTATTAACATGGAGAAGGCCCTCTCTCTCTCCCCTGCCTCACACTCCACTCCTCCAGACCCATGTGAGGGCCTGGCGGGGTCAACCTCGAGGGAAGGTACTGAAAGACGTGCGCATTTTCCCGCAGTTCAAGTGCCTTCTGCCGTAAGTTTCTAAGGTGCTGGTGCAGGACAGAATAAGGGCCGTGGCTGGGGAGGTGTTGGGATGGCTTCAGACATGAACAACATAAAGCAACAGAGAGGCCTGCATGTTTGGGAAGTGGCTGGGTTGGGCAGGATGCCAAACCTTAAATGACTTATTGAGCAATTTCTAAACCAAACATAGAGGTAGGCAAGGGGGATGTACAGGGGTGGAGAGGGGAAGGGGGATGGGAAAAGAAGAGAAACGGGGAGAGCAAGGGTGGAAGAGACTGGCAGCAGACAGATGTCTTGTTTTTATTTCCACATCTGAGGACTGAGAGTCTGACTCGCTGCCTGTCCATTTCCGCCGCTCATCGACTGTCCATAATTCATCATGCCGCTGGCTCCATAGAAGTTCATCCCAGCCATCTGCTGGGTCATCTGGAAGGGAGAGAGGAGAGCTCAGACCAGGCTGTGGGCATCCAGCCAGTTAGTGCAAAGGCTGGGTAGGTGCACCTGCACCTTGCCAGCGCACCGCCAGCGCACAAGACTGTGCGTGTGAGACTCTGCAGGAGGGTGATGCCAGAGAACAAAGGGAGGGAGAGAAGGCATCCTGGGTCTCGGCAGCAAGAAAGTGGCTCGAGAAGCTCTTTTCTTTCTTTCCAGCCCCTCATCCTAACCCAGGGCTTTTCCTTAACTGCCACAGCCAACCCTGAGGTCCAGAGCCGAGTCCCCACTCCAACGCTCTCTCCTCCAGCAGAGGGCAGGCCCTCAGCCCGAGCCTGTGCAGGCTCCCATCTGCAGAGGGGAAGAGGAAAAGCAACTGAATAATTCTAACCGGACAGAGGACCTGCGAGGGGGAGCTGAGAGAAGTCAGTGTGAGGAGGCCTGGCGGGACAGGGCCTCTGTCTATGAGATCAAACGACTGGCTCCTTGCCACCAACCCAAGAAACAATTTGTCAAAGAAAAATACCCGAAATTTCCTGAGCATGGTACATTTTTTTTTACAAGAAGATCTATTTTCTACTACTAACTTTTTTAAAAAAAAATTTCAAACTAAGAACAGTATAATGAAAGTCATGTATCTCTTCCTTAAACCCACCAGCTAACATTTTCCCATATTCTCCCCACTATTAAAAAGTTTACAGTTTTGATGGCATCAAATATTGTAGACATCATGACATTCTGACCCCTTGGTAAGTCAGGAGGAATTCTGTAAGAACAAACACTCTTCTAGAAACACAGTGTGATTGATACCCTACAGCAGAGGAGGCAAACCTATGGCAAACGTGCTATTTGTTTTTAAGAAAAAAGACATTCATGTAGAGTCGTATTTTTTAAACTAAAACCTCAGTGTTCAGTTTAACTGCAGTGTTGGCAGTTTGCGATAATTAAGTGGATTTGGGGTTGCAGTTTGGGCACTCATCTCTAAAAGGTTCGCCATCACTGCCCTAGAGAAATACTAATACAGTATTCTAATATAACCTACATTTCCTTTTCATCTTAGTTTTCTCTAACTTGTAAAAACATTTCTCCACTCTTCCTTCCTGTCCCCCAACCCTGCAACGCTGACATTTAAAAAGACTCCAGGCCTGTTACATTGCAGAGTATCTCTCAATTTGTATTTTTATCTCATATTTTCTTAACACTCGATCTAAGTTACATATTCTTGTTTTTTGGGGGTTTTTTTTGGGACTGGGTCTCACTATGCAGTTCAGGCTGGCCTTGAGCTCACTTTGTAGCACAGGCGGGTCTCAAACTCACAACAATCCTCCTGCCTCAGCCTCCCTAGTGCTGGGAATATAGGCATGCGCCACAACACCTGGCTTGCATATTCTTGGAAAGAATTCTACATAAGATATTGTATCCTTCTCAGGACAAGATAACAAGAAACACATGATATTAATTTGTTTTTGGCTAAAGTTTTTATCATACTTTCAAAATTATAAGCAAGTAATCCGAGTGGTTCAGTGTGTACAAATACCTTGTTCTTTCCACAACTATTGGCTATCATTCTTGTGCAAAGAAGCCTTTCCCTCCCTGAATTCCACACTTATTTTTTCTCTTAATATTACTATGGATTCACAGATGTTTCCATTGAGTGTATTACAATCCATTACTATGATTGTTCTTTTTGATGTTCAAATTGGCCAGTGGGAGCCTCTAGAAACTGGCTCATGTGTCCTTTAGATATGTCTCCAGTAGTTCTATGGCATTTCATATTCACATAAATAAAAATGAAAGAAGGAAAGTAAGTGAATTAAAACCCCAACTGTGAATGCTAGAAAAAGGACAATAATCTGAAAGAAGCAATCAGCAAAAATAAATCAAAATTTCACTAGAAACAGAAAAATGGTTGGGCATGGTGGTGCACATTTGTAATCCCAGCACTCAGAAGGCTGAGGCAGGAGAATCACCACAAGTTTGAAGCAAGCCTGGGTTAAGAGTGAGTCCCAGTACAACTTGAAATGCATTGTGACACCCTGTCTAGAAAGAAAAAAGAGAAAGATGTAGAGACAATCAACAAATCAAAACCCCAGAACTTTTTAAAAAAATTAACAAGCCTAATTGGCATAACTTTTGATTAAATACATTTGAAAACTTTGATGAAACAGGTAATCTTAAGTAAATACAGTTTTCCAAAAGTGACTTCCATAAAAGAAAGAGAACACTACAGAGGAATTACTACAAAATAAAACAGGGCCACACAATTTCACATGGGAATTTTACTAAATTGCGAAGACCAATACTACTTAAATTGTTCCAGACTACAGAAAATGGAAACCCAAAAATACTTTATACAGAGTTAGTCTGTGTACTGTTCCCCCGTATTCTGAAGCTGAAGTTCGGCCTCTTTGGGATGGCAAGAACACAAAATAAAACAAAAACAAAACCTTTTTATAAGTTCAGCACAGTGGCACACACCTCTAGCCTCAGATGCACAGGAGCCGAGGCAAGAGGATCACTGGAGCCCAGGATTCTGAGGCCAACTGAGCAACATAACAATACTAATACACATCGCTTCCTATAAACCAAGGACAACGCTCACACTGACTCTGATGAAGACAGCATGCATACACTGGCACTTCTCCAGGATTCCTTTGCCTGTCCCTTCATGGCCACTCTGAATGATTTTGGTCCAACTCTGATTTCTTTGCGTGAGTATACAGTTCGGTGTTGCTTTGTGAGCCAATCCGAACATCTTTTTCGCCTAATAGAGGAGTTGCCTATTGATATGAGTGATATGTTTGGTTTCAGTTGGGTATATTGTATTTGATTGTGTTTACTGTATTTGCCACACTTTCTAATCTATGGATTCTATTTTCTGTTTTTAAAAATTCTTTTGGCATTTAGAAAATTTTCCATTTTTTAGTCTAGTGATTATCTTTATATTAGTATGTTTACAATGTCCTGGCCTCCTTGTCCCTTACTCAACATCTATGATTTGGTTTGAGAGCTTATTTTATATACCCTTTGACTTCTATTTCTTTTGCAACCATTAACTTATACTGTCCTCTTTTTCTCTCTTTCCCTTCCATTACTTTTAGTTGTATTACTGTCAGAATACAACATGTATATTCTACCCTCGTCACTACCTCTGTTTTAGTCTTAGATTTTCAGTTAAATATTCAATGTTCAATATCAGCCCTTCTAGAAATTCCCATAGTCACCAGCTGGGTGAATGAAGCTTATCTTCTGCTAGATTCCTCAAGAAAGGCCAATAAGCATGATATTTCCGGAATTCTTATATGTTTAAGATCATTTTTTTACAGCCTTCATATAAGGACAGCTTGACCGACTATAAAATATTTGCACACGCTTGAATGTCCTGAAGGTAGCACCATCATTGTCCCACCTTGCTGTTGGGAAGTCTGCTGCCAACTTGGGTGTTTCTGTTTTCTTCTGGTGACATATTTTTGTAGGGTGAGGGGTGAAAAACATCAAGAAGCTGAAGCCCTGAGGACTGTTTTTGTTTGGAAAGTGTAAAGGTTTACTAGGATATTTTACAGTTGACTGTTCTTGGTCAGTTTTCCAAGAATCACAGTGGGCTCTTTAAATATTACATACAAGTTTTATTTCAAGAAAGTTTTCTTGCATTTATAGTTAGCAGCATATTAATCCCATCCCACTCTTTTGTTTTTTATTCTTTTGGTATCTCCAAATGTATGTACATTAGGCTTTCTTTGCCTACTTTCTGTATTATACCTATTGATACTTAATTTGCATTTTCTTAGCTGCTCTATGTCTTTTTCCAATGATATACATATGTATTTTCAGCTGAATCTGTCCTCTTTTAGCTACTTGTATAGCAGTATCTATTTCTAATATGATTTTGTCTTTGTTTTCTTTCCTAACTTCAGTAAACTTTCACAACTTCTAGTTTTTTGTTCATTTCAGTTCTAAGTGTCTGAATTTCTGATTCGAACTATTTTTGTCTTACTGCAAATTTTATTAGTACGTGTTTGTAGTATATGATGATTACATTCATTGTGGGGAACTGGTATGTGCACATAACACATTTCAATTCTTTTTCTGTCCCCTTCCTCTCCCTCCCTCCCTCTCTCTTCATCTCTTGGTCACCTTCCTTTATGTGAAAGTTCCATCCAGATGTTTAATAACATTTTACTGAAGTCGGTGGACTATGCAACCGTTTTTTTTTTTTTTTTCCTACTTCATGACATTTTTGAAGGAGAATTTTTATTACCTGAAATCTTTTCTTCATTACTGGGAATTTAACTCAGGGCTCCACATATGCAAAGCAAGTGCTCTAAAAGAGCTTGTACCCCACTCCCTTTTTATTCTTTATTTTGAGACAGGGTATTGCAGAATTGCCCAGGCTGACATCAAGCTTGTGATCCTCCTGTTTCAGCCTCCCATGTAGCTGAAATTATAGCTGTGTACCAACGCACCTGGCTACCTGAAATGTTTTGATTTTTTTTCTATTTTCTTATCATAGTAACTTTGTATAGACCCCATCTGCCACATTCTGTTTATTTTGTGGTGCTTTATTTTTCTGACTCAGCAGTAATGCAAACAGGTGTGGTGAGGGTTGGGGGAGGCCTACTAGATTTCTGAGTTCAAGAGTCCCCTCTTTTGCTAGTGAAATGATTATTTAGGAGAAGGAGGATGGCGTAACTTCTGATTTTGTTTGTTTTTGAGACAGGGCCTCATTATGTAGTTCAGGCTGGCCTTGAACTCCCTATGTACCCCAGGCTGGCCTTAAACTTGCAGCGATCCTCCTGCCTCAGCCTCCTGAGTGCTGGGATAACAGGTGTGCACCACTGCACTCAGCCTAACCTCTAACTCTGACTCTCTCTTCTACTTCTCATTTGTTTCCCTTTACCACCACATCTCCCAAGAGTCCCTCCTCCTTCTCCATGTTTATCTCCCAACATGCAGTGCTTTTCCAAAGCTACCGTCTATGACCCTATAGATTTCCAGTCTTATTTTTGATCGCCCAAGTAAACGGAGTTCTGATCTGCTAAGTCTCAGACATGTTCTCAGTGTGTCTCCGTTAGGGTAAGTCTCCCTCCTTCTGGGACATGACTTAATCATCCCCAGGCTTCTGTTCCCTCTCCTCTTTGTAGTCTCCTTTAAGTCGCTGGCTCTTAGGGTTTAGGCCTAAAATTCCCCACAGTCTCACGTATTTGGAGGGTGACTGGACTCATCCACTGAGGCGGCCAGCAGCTGGCAGGAGGCGGGCCTGGCTGGAGGTCAGCATCCGCGGATGTGACTTGGGAAAGTGCATTCTGATCCCTGGGTCCTTCACTCCCTCTCTGCTTCCAGGCTGCCATGAGATAAACCGCTGTCCTCTGACCAGGCCTTTCCACTACAGTACTTCTACCTCAGAGCCAGAGAACTACGGACTGAATTCTCCAAAAACCATGAGCCAAGATAAACCTCTCTTCTTTTAAATTGTGGGCACTGGGTATTTTGTCACAGTGATGGGAAAGTGAATAATACGCTGGTTCTGTTGCATTTGGGTTTTTGTGTATCTAACGCCATGCCATTTGGGGCTTTTTATAGTGGTGACAGTAGGTTATGGTCGTCTTATTGGAATTTCTTGTTTGTCTACATATATGTTTTTCTGGGGTTTTGTCTTTGTCTTTTTGAGAAGACATGGAGAGATTCAGATGTAGGCAATTACCCTTACTTTACAGGAACTATGAACTCAGAAAGTCTGACTTTAGATAGGACTTCTAGGAAAACCAAACAAACTTCAGAATGTGTCTCATGTTATTTCATCTACATGGAAAGGATTCATGGGATAAGGGAGAGTCAGAAAGGGAGACTTGGGGAAGGCTCAGAAATCATGTCCCAAGTAAAATGGGGTAGCTTACCTGAGTAAGGTTCCATTGCAGCTGCTGTGCTGGTGGAACCCCATACATAGTCTGGGGCATAGCTGCCATGCCTGCCATGTATCCAGGCTGCTGGGTGGTCAGCATCCCATTTGGAACACCCATCATTGATGCCTGCATGCCACCCATGTAGCCTGCAGGCATGGCCATGGGGGCAACCATTCCAGAGGCTCCTGGCTGAGCTACCATGCCTACTGGTGGGGGCATCATGCTCCCCATGATGCTGCTAGGAGGCGTCACCCCAGGGAAGTTGGGATAGGCTGCGGGATATGCCATCTGAGCAGGAGCCATGAACATTGCTGCCAAGAAAACATACACAACACTCTGTTAAAAAAAAAGACACCAAGTTAGCTCACATTCACTGGCTACTCCTTTCCAGTTAGAATTTTTCAAAATGACTCAACTCTCAATGCTGCCGTACACAGCAAAGCAGCCAGACAGATTCTCTACAAGACTCGCTGTGGCTTCCTGCGAGGTACCAACCTGCCACTTCCCCGTCAGGGAAGAGCCAGGCCTTGAGACAGATTTCACGGGAAGTGTGACAGAAGTGCAGCTCTGGGTTACATTAACATCTATCTGCTGATACTTTGTGACTTACCAGTAATGTCATGTTCAGGTTTGTCTGGTGTATGATGGCCCGTCCCCAAAGTAACTGTCCCTGTCAGAACGCATAACTCTTTGATGTAGCCCTCATGACTCTCCCTGGCACACACCATGACTCCATGGACTCTACCTTGGGTAGGCATCTGAGGCGTCTGCGATCCATATAGCGAAAGGATGGAGTCTTTAGAGAGCTGTTTCTTGCCCACTTCCTCTGATTTGCTTCCTGGCTCCGGGAACAGGTTCAGGTTTTCAGGAACAGAGCTGGCACTCCCTGCAGTTGGCATGGAACCTACCACCTTGGGGCACAGAGGGCAGGGAGAGTGTTGGAATGGTCCTCACGGAGGTCTGTGCATTTCCTCACAGGGCCAGATCCTCTTCATCAGAGTGAGCCCCCTCCAGCTGCTCAAGCTGAAATCCTTTTCCATTTTTTTAATTTCCTTTTGTGAAGGGCCAGCTTGATTTTTTGTCAGCTCCTCAGACTAAAGACCCTTGCCATTTTCTCTTACTTTCTTTTTTTTCTCCCTCCCCTCCCCTTACTTTCTAATTAAATCTTTTTCCTATTTCAAAAATAAAGACTTTTCTTACCTTCTGCTGCCTCTAACATTTGTAATAAGAATTCATGGCTGATGTCAAGTTAATACTTTCTTGACATCTTTACCATACAAATAGCTGGTAGCACCTTACAGATAAGCTCTGGTACTATTCTTTGTTCTTCAGCAAAAGACTAGTTTGGTTTTTAAAAAGGATATAACAGAGAGAAATGAGTTTAGTTCCCAGTGTGGCCTTTTACCAGGTTTACAATCAGAGGTTAATCACTTATTTTTTCTGAATGAATGTTTCTCCATCTGTATAGAATGTCCGTTTTGTGGACCTCTGATGAAATTATTAATGAAATATTCAAAATGGGCTGTTGTAATGATGATTGCCTACAATTTCAGCTTCTCAGGAGGTTGAAGCAGGAGGATCAAAAGTTTGAGGCCAGCCTGGGCAACTTAGCAAGACCCTGTCTCCAAATAAAATTTCAAAAAGGGTTAAGGATATAGTTCAGCAAATACCTGGCACTATTCCTAGTACACACGAGGCATTATACAAATGGTAGCCATTAAAGTTTCAAGTCTTTCGTACTGACAATACCCTGATAGAAACTCAGGCTGAGGAGCTGACTTCAAAGTATGGGCTTGACATTAGGACACATTTTTTGATAGAAGCCCACTCAAAGGACCACCCTTTGGGGCAGGAGATAAAATGGTATGCATAGCCAACCATGAGACTTGTAATCTCAGCAATCTGGGAGGCTGAGGCAGGAGGATCATAAATTTGAGCCCAGCCTGGACAACTTAATAAAGAAAAATGAAAAACAGAATGGACAGTAATCTTAAATTATGATGAAGATGACGTAGTATCAAAAAAAAGAAAGTCCAGTTCCACGAAGGAAGCATAACTTGGTTCCATGATTAAGCTATCACCCTTTCCAGAATGCTCTTTAATCCTGAGAAGTCCCAAAGACTCACCTTTCTAGAAACTGAAGAAGATGGGGATGGGACAGAGGTCAAAAGATCTAAGTCCTTCTCTAGGGCATTGCTGGTCTTACTATTTGTCATAGAGCAGGCCACTGGAGCATCTAGAAAGAGAGATGGAAGTCAAAATGTAGCACTGCTTATTAAGGCCACATCTTCCTTCTGTATATACAAAGACAGGACAGAGGCCTAATGTCCTATATGAACATGAAAATCCAGTCCTCAGCAACTACTTAGCTGAGATAGAGCTTGCTCCTAACAGCTCTCACCCAACAGTCCCAGTGGCACTCTGGGGTAGCCTACAGCCCAGCAAACAGGCACAGGGCAGCAGAAACCCTGTGTTGCTGAGGCAGCACAGCTGAAAGGCTGGCTGGCTGGCTCCCTGCTGGCTATGTGAAAGGCAAAGTGTGAAGAAAAGTCCAGAAACTACAAGTCTATAGCCTAACGAACCTACATCAGCAGCAGTGGGCTCAAACAAAGTGCAGCCATTAGCACAGTGAGAGGCAGAGAACAGGCTTTCTTTCTGAAAGGGGCAAAATCACTAGTTCAGGATTTCAAAGGGAAATGACCACGATGTAACAAGCCATCTCAAAAACTGGTTGTATCTAGCTATGCATGGTGGTGCATGCCTGTAATCCCAGCACTCTGGGAGGCTGAGGCAGGAGGGTTACAAGTTCCAGCCCAACCTGGGTAACTTAGTAAGATCCTTTCTCAAGAAAAAGAGCTGGGAATATAGCTCAGGGTGAAGGCCCTGGGTTCAAGCCCCAGTACCACATATACAAAAAATGGGTTGCACCTGAAAAATCAAGAGGTGAGAATAAGCAGCAGCATTCAGCAAAGTGACAAAAGATTCGACAGTGCTCTTCAGTGGGACTGAAAACATTTACTGAGTGCTTAGTATGTGCCAGGCACCAAGAGCTTTAGAAGCATCACTCCACTTAATCCTTCTAATATATCTGAAGTAGAGATTCTCATCACTGCCCCGATTAGGAAAGTGATACTCAGAGGTAAGGTATACAACTCAAGGTCACACAGATAGTTAAGTGGCACAGTTGGGACTCCGGCTCAAAGGCCAAGCTACACTGTACTGGTGCCCTGAAAAATGTCACAGTAAACACTTCCTTTGAGCAACTGCTCAGATGAAAATCTAACAGGAGGAATATGAGAGAATTACCCTAGTGAAGAAGACACAGAGGAGTCCCTTTTCTACCAATGTTCCCGGGGTCACTGAAAATACATTAAAATTAGTAAGAATATGGGAGCTGAAAAGTCTAACTCTTACCAAGGCCCAACAAATCCATGACTGGTGCTGTGGATTTTGGGGAACTCTTCCGAGGTAGCTGTGGATCTTCTTTTTTCTGTGGATACAGTGAAAATAAAGAAATAAGCAGATGCTTTTGAACTATTTTCCTCTCCCGAGGTAAAAACCACAGGTACTCTTGTGGTAAGGTTCTGTTACTCAAAGACAGTTCCAAAGAAACAAAATTCAAGAAGTACCAGGAGGCATGACAGCATAAATTGAACCTGCAGTGAAACAGAAGCCTGTTCCTATTTTTTTTTTTTTTTTGGTTTTTCTCTGGTACCGAACTCACAACCTTGCACTTGCCAGGCAGGCGCTTTGCCGCTGAGCTAAATCCCCAGCCCCTCCTATTTAGCTTTCTAGAGCAGCAATGATTTCTGAAACCAACAAGTTAGCAGGAGATTTGACAGAAAGTGCAATTTTTTGCCCCCCTCCACCAAATAAGGAAAAAGGTAAGTATTTGATGGTAGAAGGGTCAGGAACCAATTAATCTTCCAATAGTTAGAAAACCTTTAATAATGAAAGGGAAGCTGGGTGTGGTGATGCAAGTCTGTATCCTAGCACTCTGGGAGGCTGAGGCTGCAAGACTGCAAGTTCAAGCCCCACCTGGGCAACTCAGTGATTTAGCAAGACCCTGTCTCAAAATAAAAAAGGAGGTGGGGCTATAGCTCAGTGTGAAAGCCCTGGATTCAATCCCCAGGAGAAGAGGAGAGAAAAGAAGGAGGGGGAGGGGGGGAGAGAAGGGAGGGAAAAGAAGAAAGAAGAGAAAAAAGGGGAAATCAGTTTAAAAATTACCTAATTCACTCTGCCCCTATCACTAGTAACGGGGTCCACAGGCAATGTAGTTTACGGTGATGATAAAAGACTCCTCCTTTAGCAATAGTAAAAAGTCCATTCCCCTAACAGTCCAAGCGGGTAGAGAATCTACCACTACAGCCACAGTACACTATGGAAAAGGAGCTGGTGTGGCCTAACATGGGGACACAACTCTTAACTGGAACAGGAAAACACGGTACAGGAGACCTAACAAGAGACAGCCTAAAGTGTGGGCAGCCTCTGCTCGGAGGGCGTCACACAGTCACTGCATTCTGGCAGGGAAGGTGCCTCGTGCTTAGATGGGACAGACGGGGCTCCCAAGTTCCCACATGGCCCCGAAGAAAAGTGTTACAGAGCACATCAGGCAGTAGCAGCAACAGAAAGAAGCCTAAATGGCTGCAGGTGATCTGGTCTAAATGTGGAACCTTGGTGCAAAACGGTATCAAATCCACCTGCCACGGGCTCTCCTCTCCCCTTCCACATGAACACCCCCAAGATCATCCCCAGGACGCAGTTACTGTCCCACTTACCATTTTCACTTTCTCAAAAACAACAGGTTCCATTTTCTTCTCTGGAGCTGGCTCATTCCCTCTTTTCCATTTGTCATCTTTTTCTTTCTGAAATGATTTAACAACAAAATAAACATGGTGACTAATAGATCAATAAATGATCATTCCAAATGGCCAAAAGGTCCAAGTATTCCAAAAGTTCCTAATGACTCTGTTGCAGGACTGTGACAACCTTGGGAGAGCGTCCTGAGATAGCATATGAGAGTGGATTTCCTCTACCTGAGCCTTACTAGGCAAGGCGTATTCCAAACATCTTAGGCTCTCTCACCCTCTAGGTCTGTCTAACCCACTTACGACTCCTGAAATCTGCAGTATAAGCTATACACAGAGGCTAAAAAGTTCACTCCCCATTTTTGCCTCAAATTTAAAGAGGCCTGGGGATACACCTCAATGCAAAGGTGTGGGTTCAACCCTAGCACCACAGAACCAAACCAAACGAAACAAAACAAAAACAATGTTCATGCTTTGAGGGGTATCCGTCTCATCTCGATAATTTGGTCAATAAATTCATGTTCATCTCATTCAGTTTATATCTTTGTGATTTTTATAAATTTAATCATAGATCTTCTTACTATTTATCTCCTTTTTAAAAAACCAGGAAAAAAATCCTTAATTTCAAGATTTAACAAGAGAAAAAACAAAATTAAGGAAATAAAATAAGAGAGAATTAGGGAATTCTAAACAGGGATTATAGTACATTTTTAAAGGTGTCCTGAATGAGTCACCTGTATAAAATCAAAAAGCTTTACCAAGAAAAAACATTAGAAAGTCTCTCCCAGTTTTTGTTACTTCCAGAGACAATTTCCTAATGCTTTCACAGATTATAAGGTGATCGGTCACATTTTGACCTCACATAAACAGCTACTAAATGGCAAACAGACCCAAAATGTAAACAAGGACCGGGGATGACTCAATAGTAGAGCATTTGCCTATCAAGTATGAGGTCCTGTGTTCAAGCCCCAGGACCAGACGGGAAAAAAGTAACCTTAAGAATATAGGCTCAGGAGGCTGAGGGATCAGCACGAGTTCAAGGTCAGCCTGGACTACATGGTGAGATGCGCATCTGAGAAAAAAATAATAATAATAATAGGAGGCACATAGACGGCTAATGCCTGTAATCTCAGTAGTTGGGAAGCTGAGGTAAGAGGGTTGCAAGTTCAAGCCCAGCCTGAGCAACTCAGTGACTTAACTGGTCTCAAAATAAAAATGAATTTTAAAAGAGGCCTGGGGATACAGCTCAATGCAAAGGTGTGGGTTCAACCCTAGCACCACCGAACCAAACCAAACAAAACAAAACAAAAACAAAGTACAGCATGCATATGAAAAAAACGTTCAGTCATGGTGACTGAAAATGCATTTTAGGTAGGAGAGAGATACTAACAGTGATAATACCTAAAGTTAGTAGGGATGAAGTAAAGCTAGTTTTCTTATACAGTGCTGAAAAGACTGTAAAATGACACAACTTTTGGAAAGTATTCTGGCAAAAGTATGAAGAGACAAATATTAAAATCCTTTGGTCTAGATAACAACATTTTAATGAATCTTAAGAAAATAATCTGGGGCTGGGAATTTAGCTCAGCAGCAAAAGCGCCTGCCTGGCAAGCGCAAGGTCGTGAGTTCGGTTCCCGGTACCGGAGAAAAACCAAAAAAAAAAAAAAAAAAA